AGAGAGAGAGAGAGAGAGAGAGAGAGAGAGAGAGAGAGAGAGAGAGAGAGGAAATAAAAACTCCAGCAAGAACTGCAGGAAGGCATTAACATCTGTTGGCATTTTTCAGTTTGCTTAGGAGGTCAGTTGAATATTTACTAATTAATTATTATTTATTAATTAGACTTATATACCGCTTCATAGGGCTTTCAGCCCTCTCTAAGCGGTTTAGTTTTTTTTTTTTTTAGCAAATTGAGTCAGCAACTTGCCCCCACAGTCAGGGTCCTCATTTCACCCACCTCGGAAGGATGGAAGGCTGAGTCGACTTTGAGCCAGTGAGATTTGAACCGCTGAACTACAGATCACAGTCAGCTAAAGTGGCCTGCAGTACTGCACCCTAACCACTGCGCCACCTCGGCTCTTATACTTCTTATACTTCTCTGTATTAAAGAGAAGCATTGTAGCACAATCCCTGTGGAGAGTACTGAGCATCACAAGATTGATTTTTTTCATGGTCTTTCATACTTTGCACACATTCTGGATAAGGTTTTAATAAGTTATGCTCATACGGCTATTTTATCTGAAAGGTAGGGGGCCTGCATGGCTTAGATGGGATACGTTGATTTAAAGTCATTACGTGATCTTCCTTAAATTGACACACGGTTCTGTCTTGATTCTCCGGCTTTGTAGAAAATGGATCCGTCCGGCCAGCCAACATGTTCGGCCCACCCTGCCCGCTTCTCTCCTGATGACAAATATTCTCGACACAGGATCACCATCAAGAAACGCTTTGGTGTCCTGATGACCCAGCAGCCTCGGCCTGTGGTTTAAGTTACAAAGGCGGCGAGATAAGCTTTGAGAGCAGCTTTGAAGAAGCAGAGGAAGACGAAGAATACCTGACAATCTGCATTCTGCCGTCCACATGGTGGTCTCACTTTGCTGATGTTTTTTTCAAACTTGACTTAATTCTGTGGATGAGAAATTAATGATACCCTGGAAGCAAGAGAAAATTATTCACTGGTTTTTTTTTCTGGTTATGTAATTCTGGAAATAAAGTGAGATTTTTTTCCATGGTTCTATTTCGTTAGCATGATGGGTCTATGTAGTATTTTCCAGAGAAGGATAGCTTCCCCCAACCCTCCTCACAGCATGGTAGGGAATATCAATATCAGTAATGCTGGAAATAGTGGTTTGTATTTTGAGTGGACAATTTTTTTTAGTTCTTAAGTTAGCCAGCTACCTTTGGGCAATGTGGCACAACAAATGGCCACATTGATAGTTTCTCATCAAGTTGTAGGGAAATATTGATTTGCGTACCATAATGTTCCGTCTTCCTTAGCTCAGTTTTTGTCAACATTTTTTGCAAATTGGGTGCAGAAAAAGCTTATTAAATATACTGATATTACAAAATTTGATGGGATAACTAATGCTCTGGGGAAAAAAATCCAAAATGTTCTTGTAATTATTTTAAAAGAATGGCTTGAAAATAACAGTGAAATTGAACAGACAAATGCAAAGTCATCCTTCTGGGGAAACAGACAACAAATGCATAAATATAGGATGGGGCTTGGCAATAACATTTAGGAAAAAGGCTTTAGAATAGCAGTTCATAAACAATCTGAGTCAGCAGGGTGGTGATGCAAAGAAGGCAAATATTTTAGGCTCTTTTAAGGGAAATATAATTTCCAAATCATAAGTAATAATTTCTATTCATTCTACATTAGTTGGAACCACACCTTGAATTCAATACTAGGTACTACTTTGTAAGATTCAGAAGAATTGAAGCAAGTTTTACAAAAGCTACAAAGGTGATCCAGGGGACGAGAAACAATTTGATGAATGTATTGAGAAAGCTAAAGGATACATAATGCTTTTCAACTCTCTGAAAAGTTGCCAACAAAGAGGGCTAAAAATCAGTGTTTTATTAAAATCAAAGTATAGAATTAAGATAAAGGCAAAGGTTCCCCTCGCACACATGTGCTAGTCGTTCCTGATTCTAGGAGGTGGTGCTCATCTCCATTTCAAAGGCGAAGAGCCAGCATTGTGCAAAGATGTCTCCGTGGTCATGTGGCCGGCATGACTAAATGCTGAAAGTTCCCAGAACTCTTACCTTCCTACCAAAGGTGGTTCCTATTTTTCTACTTGCATTTTTTACATCCTTTAGAACTGCTAGGTTGGCAAAAGCTAGGACAAGTAATGGGAGCTCACTCCATTAAGCAGCACTAGGGATTCGAACAGCTGAATTGCCGACCTCTCTGATCGAC